CCAGCCAGCGCCGCCATCTTTGTTGTGTCAATTTGCATATTCCCTCCTTATTGGCTGTGGGCACCTCCATCTTTATTGTGAAGTGGTGGTTAATTTGTACATTACTCTTTTATTAGATAGGATGGCTTTGGAAACTTCACTGCAAAACATTAAAAAGAACTGCAATACATTAAAAGATATACCTAGGTTAAAATATGTGTGTGAATAATTATATTCATTTTTATGTTTCTATGAAAATATAGACTAGTATAGTTTTTGAAGTTTAAAATTCAGTTGAATTTTGTCACTCTTAAATTTTAAGGTGACTGGATTATTTTTTAAAGCATTGTCAACGAGATAAAAGAGCATACATTTATAAAATGATTATCTTGTTTAAAGAGAAAAAAATATTACTATTTTAAACTTTAAAAACATCAACAGCGTTAAGGGAACATACAGAATATAGTACTGGCTAAAAGAGATGACTTGTAGTTCATGACCCTCAAACTCATGCCCATTATGTGTGTCACATTATGAAAGAACCTTAACCTCAATTAACCTCAATGTCCTTATCTAACAAATGGGAATTGAAATAATGCTATAGGTGTTTTTTTTAGGATTAAATAAGTTACTGTATACAAAGCTTAAAACTTTCTTTGTACCTGTCAAACAAAATATTTAACAGATATTATAATTATTATACATTATAGTTATCAATATACCACTTTCTCTGGATTGAGCTTTTTAAGGACTAAGAGAACATATTTCAGCAATTAGCACAATTTATATTCTTAAGCTTGAATAAATGATTCATTGAATGAATAAATTGTTGGCTGAGTTAACAATAAAGTTCATAAGAGGAATATGAATTTTAACTTTTTAGGAGATGTAGCCCAGCTGGTGTTGCTCAGTGGTTGACCATGGACCTATGAACCAGGAGGTCAAGGTTAGATTCTCAGGTCAGGGCACATGCCCCTGTTGCAGGCTTGATCCCTGGTGTGAGGCATGCAGGAGGCAGCTAGCCAATCAATGATTCTCTCTCATCATTGATGTTTCTATCTCTCTCCCTCTCCCTTCCTCTCTGAAATCATTTATATATATATTTAAAGGCAGTGTTTATTAAAAACATTTATTTTCAAAATTAAGCTATCCTCTGTTAAAGTGTGTATACATTTTTTGGGAATATATATATATATATATATATATATATATATATACTGAAGCAAGTGCATTTGAACATAGAATGCAATATTTTTAATAAGTCTAAAAGGGTTATATTATGGGTTTTAATTCTTTACATTTCCAGGAAGATTCTGTAGATATTATTAAAAGTTTGCTTAGCTAGGTTGTTAAATATTTACTTTTGATTTTAGACAATTGCCTTAAAAGCAAAGCTTGTGTTATTAATAAAAGTACTGCTTTTTCACACATTTTTCTGCATTACAACTCTCTGAGAGGCTAATGACAGAAATATAACTCAAAATAGTTCAAAAGAAATATGTTGACTCAGTAACTTAACACTTCAGTGGTAGCATTGTCACTGTTACAACTACAGATATAGCTGAATCTAGTATTCCTCTTGCTTCTCTCTCTTCCCCCCACTTCCCCAGCTTCCTCCTCCTCTTCCTCTCCAGTGCCTGTCCCTGTCTCTGTTTCTTCATTTCTTAACTGGTCTTTCTCCTGTGTCCCTGTGTTAGCTTCTTTCTCAGTCAGGTTCTATCCTTCTGTTTACTAAAATGGCCCCTAACAGCCTAGACGTACATGATCCCTAGTTCCCTCATTTCAGAAAACTCTAGGTTTTTGTATGTCAGGCTTTGATTGCATACTTTGATCATAAGCCCATGCCTGAACCAACTTTAGTGGCCAAGGTGATATAGGACTCTGCTTGGCCTGTCTTGGGTCATATATCTACCACCAATACCAGGGATAAGATCAGCCCACCTGAGCCACACGGACTGAGAAGTGTGATCTGTTCTGTCTAACATAGTCTGGACAAATGCAAACAGGCAGTCACACACATATTCTTAAATGTTACATGTTCTTTGGTAATAACCTTGTGAGAATAATTGGACCGTCGTTTATAATAGAGGCAGTTTCGCATACTGGAAAGATATAGGAGGCAGATAACTTTGACTCCTTTCCATTTTGGCTATGTGCTCTCAGGTCAGTTACATAACCTTTGTGAATTTCTATTTCCTCACTGTTTACTTGGGATAATATACAAGATTGTGATGAAGACTAAATGATATATTACATCAAGAAGAATGTAGTACTTAGCACATAGTAGACAGTCAATATATATTAAATGTATCATTATAAGTTACTCTTTAACAAAACTACTTTAGGATTCAGTGAATTCAGGAGTGGATAAGGGATATTTAATCTGGAAAAGTACCACCTATACGCTTTTTATAAAAACAAAATTTGTAACTTATGGGTGTTTTAGATATGTAGAATTATTATAAAGTTAGTGTAGAGAGTTCCTATACATGCCACATCAGGTTTCCCCTATAATTAACTACTTATATCATCATGAAACATTTGTCACAATAAGCCAATACTGATATATTATCAACTGAAGTCAATACTTCAGGTTGTTTTTTTTCCTAAAGTCCTTTCTATGTTCCAAGATCCCATTAATGATAATACGTTACACTTAATCATCATGCCTCAGACTCTTCTTGGTTGGGACAGTTTATCGGATATTTCTTGCTTTTTATGACCTTGATAGCTTTGAGGAATACTACTGATCAGGTATTATGTAGGCAGATATTTCTGGGCCCATTCTAAGGTCAAGAACTTTTCATCACTTCCAATACTGTAGCTTTGTCTGTTATCTGTTATGTAGTAGGTGCTAAATAAATAATTGTCTGCCAAATGATAAAATGGATGCAATGGCAGAGTCCACTGGCTAACTACCCAATATTCTTCTTTATCTTCTTCATTACCAACAAAAGCCTACTTTAAAAAATATTTATTTTATTGAGGTTAAATTCTTATAAAATGAAAGTATCCATTTTAAAATGAATAATTCAGTGTCAGCATATTTATGATGTTGTGTAACCACCACATCTAATTCCAAAGCATTTCCAAAAGGAAACCCCATACCCATTAAGCAGTTGATCCCTATTTCTCCTCTCCCCAGCTCCTAACAACTACCTATCTGCATTCTGTATTTATATACTTATAATTTCATGATAATTAATATAAATGAATTCATACAATATGTGACTTTACTCTGGCTTCTGTCAGCATGTTTTTGAGGCTCATCCACATTTTAGCATTTATCAGTACTTTATTACTTCACTAGAGGCCTGGTTCATGCACTAGGGGGGAGGTTCCCTCAGCCCAGCCCGCACCCACTCCAATCAGGGACCCCTCAGGGGATGTCTGACTGCCTGTTTAGGCTCAATCCCTCTCACAATTTGGGACTGCTGGCTCCTAACCACTCACCTCCCTGCCTGCCTGTCTGATTGCCCCTAACCTCTCTGCCTGGCTGCCTGATCACCCCTAACTGTCCTCCCCTGCTGGCCTGATTGAGCCCCCAACTGCTCTCACCTGCTGGCCTGATCTCACCCCCAGCTGCCTCTGCCTGCCTGATCACCACTAACTGCCCTCCCTTGCTGGCCTGATCTCACACCCATCGGCCCTACCCTGCTGGCCTGATAGCCCCTATCTCCCTCTGCCTGCCTGATCACTCCTAACTGCCCTCCCCTGCCCTCACTCCCAACTACCCTCCTCTGCCGGCCAATTTGGTTCTGATTGGTCAGTTTCTATGCCAGTCAGCATCAAAAGCTTGGCCTCCTAGGCAGCCATTGGCTCCTCACAATTGACCCAGATTTGGTTCTGATTGGTCAGTTTCTATGCCAGTCAGCATCAAAAGCTCCACCTCCTAGGCAGCCATTGGCTCCTTACATTCACCCAGATTTGGTTCTGATTGGTCAGTTTCTATGGCAGTCAGCATCAAAAGCTCCACCTCCTAGGCAGCCATTGGCTCCTTACATTCACCCAAATTTGGTTCTGATTGGTCAGTTTCTATGCCAGTCAGCATATCTGGGCCTATCCACGGGGCCTTATCAGAAAGGCGAGGCTGATCAGTAGCCCCATGGAGGCCTGGAGAGAAATGGAGGTGGGGCTGTTGGCCAGGCCAGGAGAGAAAGAGAGGCAAGTTCTGATCAACAGCTGCCACAGAGGCTACGGATCAGACCCTGCCCCTCTCTCTGCTGGCCTCTCTCCGGGCCTGATGCGCAGCCCCCTAGGCAGTCAGTGCTGGGTCAGAGCAGCGGCCCCAGTCAGTGCTGGGTTGCCATGGCTGACTTCCGGTCTGGTCAAGCCTTTGGTCGTAATGGTTGTTATGACCCTGGTTCTTTATTATATAGATTACTTTTTTATTATTATTTCTAAAGTTTTACATATGTCTTCTTTTTCCCCAATTGACCCCACCTGGCCATTCCTACCCCAGGCAAGCCCCCACTGCCCCAGTGTCTGTGTCCATTGGTTATGCTAATATGCATGCATACAAGTTTTTTGTTGCTTTCTAACCCCCACCCCCATTTGTCTCTGGATCTATTCTTGTTCATCAAATTATTTTGATCATTATATCCCACATATGAGTGAGATCATGCGATATTTATGTTTCTCCAACTGGCTTATATACTCTGATTTCTCTTCAGATCACATAAATCTTTTGCCTTTTACTTCATTACTTTTTATGTAATAAACCTACTTTTAATTGGAATATCAATGTACCCAAGCTTAAGAGAAAGTTACATGGTTCAGCTGGCATGGCTCAGTGGTTGAGCATCAACCTAGGAACCTGGAGGTCACGATTTGATTCCAGGTCAGGGCACCTACCCAGGTTGCGGGCCCCCATTGTGGTTGTGCAGGAGACAGCCGATCAATGGTTCTCTCTCATCACTGATGTTTTTATCTCTCTCTCCCTCTTCCTTCCTCTCTGAAATCAATTAAAAAAAAAGAAAGAAAGAAAACTACATGCCCCGCCTTCTTTGCTTGATGGGTGGTTATGTGGCACTGGTCTGGCCAGTGAAGTCTAGGAATTCCTGGAGAGGGCTTCCAGGAAATTTCCTTACAAGGAACTGGTTCAGCTGGAAAGCACCCTTTGGCTCTTTGCCTTTTCCCTTCTTCCTTCCTGAAACAGCCATTATCGTGAAAGTTCTAGATGTAAGGAACATAACACAAGGATAATGGAACAGAAAATTGCAAGGAGCCAGCATTTCTGAGGACACCATGTGGTGTCCATACCAGATCTATAATCTGGACTCTGGACTTCTTTCATGTGACAGAGAAATGAGTATCTAATGTCCTTAAAAGTATTCACATAAGAATACATATTTTACTATACATTATATATACAGTTAAAGTTAAAGATAGTTTCTGACCAATGAGTTTATCATAATTATGAATTACATCTGGGTAAGAGAATATTCTTTTTATTTTTTTAGATTATATTCATATATTTCTTCTGATTTTTAATTACATTTATTCGGGTGACATTGGATAATAAGATTATACCAGTTTCAAGTATACATAGCTATGATATATGATCTGTATATTTCATTGTGTGTCTACTGCCTAAGAGTATTTTCAAATGTCCACTTATAGAATTGTTTAAATCAGTTTCACTATTGTCGCTCTTAACTTAGGACTATTCCTGATCACCAAATATGGCAGAGAGAAAAAGGCCAGAAAGTTATGTCTGAAAATTGAAGTTGCTGCCTTACAGAGTTAGATATCGATACATTGCTATAGAACCCATTTTAACATATATAGTTACCAAATTCCAGGAAATAAACCCAAAATAAACTTCTGCAGTTCTGGCTAAAAGATGAAGCTCTTTGTATTGTCTGCTGACATCCATTTAGGAGAGATAATTTTTTGGTATATAATCTATTGATTATTTTATTGAAATACTAGAGGCCCAGCACGTGAAATCATGCGCGGGTAGGATCCCTAGCCTGTGATCAGGGCCATCTTCTGCCCGCTCGCCAGTCCCCAGTCCCACCCCACCAACAACCCGCTCCTGATTCGCCATGGTTCCCAGATTGCAGCATGGCTCCAGTTCCCCGGAGCCTGTGGGCCAGGGGGAGGGACCAAGAGGTTGGCCGTTCCACCTGCTTGCCAGTCTCGCCCCACCACCACTCACCTCAGTTCGCCATGGTTCCCTGTTCACCATGCTGTGATGGGAGCCTGTAGACCGGGAGGGAGGGAGGGATCGAGAGGTGGTCAATGCACCTCATGGCGACTGGTCGAGCGATCATTCTGATCATTATGCTTATGGTCACTGGTGTTTTATTATATAGGATATGATAAATAGCTGCAGAGGTAGATAGCAACCTAGCACATTTCTTTAATGTATTAAAAAAGATAGACTGAATGGGAGACAAATAGGATAAGTACTTGAGTAGTATAGAGTAACAATTGAATGTTGGAACTGCAAAGAGAGATTGAGGTTGAGATAGTAATAGCTTATGATGAAGCAAAGATGAAAAAGACTGGGATCTGAAGGACATTGAAAAGCCAGTGGTGGTTTTTAGAAGCAAAGTTTAGCCCAGCTGGTATGGCTCAGTTGTTGAGCATTGACCCATGAACCTGGAGGTCATGGTTCAATTCCAGGTCAGGGCACAAGGGTTGTGGGCTTGATCCCCAATTTGGGGCAGGCACAAGACAGCCAATCAATGATTCTCTCTCATCATTGATGTTTCTATCTCTCTGTTCCTCTCCCTTCCTCTCTGGAATCAATAAAAATATATTTTAAAAGAAGAGAGAGAAGCAAAGTTTAGTTGAAACAATGGGGGAAATTTGTGGGGTTTTTTTGTAGGAGAAATATTTTCAGTTATATGAAAAAGGTAAACTAATGAGGGGACTGAAACATGGAGTATGCTAATATTTGAATGTAAACCGTTAATGCATTGACAACACTTTTAGAAATGAAAATAAGTACAATATATTTTAACATAAAATGGAAAAATGTGTACTGATGCACTATGATATTTTTATGACTTACCAATAAATTTTTTGATACAGGGAAGTAATAGAAACATAAACCTGAGGCCCAGAATAAGTAATTTATTTTAATATATTTTTTATTATTGATAGTATAACAGATACCTCCCATCCCCCTTTACCTCCATTTACCCAGCTCCTACCCTCCCCACCAGGACTTCACTACCCTATTGTCCTTGTCCATGTCAAATGCATTTATTGAGAACCTACTATGTTTCTGGACTCTGCTAGGCATCAGAGATTAAATTGTGAATTTAAAGATATAGTTATTGCCCTCATTGATTTTAGGTTCTAGTCAGGAAAACACAATAAAGAGATAAATGAGTATATGTCTAAGCAGAAAGTAACAGTGTCATATTTTCCTAACTTTAATTCAATGTACAGTAATCTCCCTTTATTGGTGGTAAATACATTCCAAGATCCCCAGTGGATGCCCGAAACTGCAGATAGTGCCATATATACACTTTATAGCTTCTCTTTGGCATACCCGAATTTCCAGCATTACTACTCTTTGAGCTTTGGGGCCAATATCAAGTAGAATAGGGGTCACTTGAATACAAACACTGTGATACTGGACTGTTGACCTGAAAACCAAGATGATTACTAAGAGTCTGACTGCTGAGGGACTGACAGGGGTGGGGGCATTGGGTAGTTTCTGCAAAGTGGATAAACTGGACAAGAGGATGATTTATGTCCAGGGTGGGACATAACAAGGCATGAGAATTCATCATGGCATGAGAGTTCATCATACTCACAGAATGGTACATGATTTGAAACTTATGAATTGTTTATTTCTGGAACTTTTCATTAAATATTTTCAGGCCATGGGTGACCATGGGAACTTAAGCCACAGAAAGTGAAACTGCAGATAAGGGGGATTAATTTAGCCATAAAAACACGGAATAAAATGAAGATAGGTGTGATTAGAAGAGAGAGGTCAAGAACGGAATATTTTTTAAGCACAAATCACTCAACAAATGCACTTGCTTCTGGCCATTAGTGATGCATTTGGGCACCTTTGCCTTCACCTTCCTCAGTGGCAACAAAGGATGGATATTATCAGAGGAAGCTGTAGAAAAAGGCAGACATACAGCACAGTATGAAAATTAATTTATTCTGTTTTCTAATTACGTGTCAGTTTAAAAATTATAAACATGACTTAGAATGTAGACTAGTATCACCTGAATTGTTTAATTATGCTCACATGCAGCTTAAAATAGTGATGGTAATAATGCATTTGTCTTTTAGTTCAAGAAAACATCATTAAAAGAAGCACAAAGAAAGTGAACTATGCAAGGTTAAAGAAGCAGGATAATAGAGCACCATAGCTGGTTCACAGGTGTTTTTTGTTTGTTTGTTTGTTTTTTACTGGAAAAGAATTTCAAACAGATAAATACTTAAATACTGAAATAGCTCCCTTAGACAGCTCATCTTCATTACTTCTGGAGATCTCTCTCTCATCAGTACCTCATGGAAATGACAATTTCTAAACTGTCTGCCAACAAGTGTTAATTACTTTGGTAATCAAAACAATGCACTTGTTGATTTCCCTCCTGTATTTACCATTAAAAGTGAAAACAGCTTTAACTTTTTTCCTTTAAAAGAAAATACAAGCTCATTGGGGAAATACAGAAAACAAATAGCCATGTTATTCTTAATGGTTTTCTCCCATTGTGGGATTTCAGGTAATTTTTGCTTTCTTCTATTTTTTTTCTGTATCTTTTCCCAGTAAGCCTATGAGTAAATAGGGTGGGTCCCTCTTTTTTGTTGTTCTAGTGCAAGAATACCCCTTTTCTTGGGGCTAACGTGAATATTTTCCTTTGCTCACAATGAACCTTTCTAAAACGGAGGCTACATTTTAACTTATGCATATTAACTAATACTCCATAGAGCCAAACACATAGTAGAAACTCAAGAAATAAAATAACTCATTGATTGTATTAAACACCTAGTTTCCTGAAAGTTTAAAATAGCATTATCTTAAAAGAAATCTGGTGAAAAGCATTCCATGATGAATTTCAGGAGTAGAAAACACTTCATAAGGTACCAGCCAATTTCATGATATTGTATGAGAAAAGATTGATTTGTTTTTTTCTTTCTTTTTTAATTTATTTTTTATTAAGTTATTACATATGCGTCCTTATCCCCACATTACCCCCCATCCCCTCCCACTCATGCCCTCACCCCCCTGTTGTCTGTGTCCATTGGTTAGGCCTATATGCTTGCATATCAGTCCTTTGGTTAATCTCTCCCCCTTACCCTCACCCTCCCCTACCTTCCCTCTGAGGTTTGACAGTCTGATTGATCCAGAGACAGAGAAGCATCGACAAGATTGATTTGTATCGCTTTACATCAGAAAATCCATATCCATATATTTTATGTATATAATATTCATTTAGTTAATTGCTAAATTTTTCCAACAAACATAAGTGAGAATCTCTTTTTTAATTAGCTTTGTTCTTGCCCCACATTAGTATCACACACACACACACACACACACACACACACACACACACAGGTCTAGGTGGGAGAACAAGAGAAAATTCTTCATTAGGGACACTTCAAAAGCAGGTTAATGCAAATGAACATGAAGCCAAATACAATATGAAAATTGAAATTTATTAGCACACTTTGCATGAAGGTTTTTTTTCAAAGCTTTGCTATGCATATGAAATGTTCCATTTTTATGCCTATATTTTCATTATTCAGTAATATGCATTAATTTCTGTTGTGCCCAAATATAAGTAGTAAAGCTGCTCAAAAAGTTTCACTGATCTTGGGTTTCACTTAGTCTTTCACAGTTGACCTGATCATTTAATTTCCACTAGAAAACTAATTCAATGGAAATGAGTAAGAATAATTAGAAAGAGAATAATTTATCATTGAATTATTCATTTTAGTGAGTATTTTTGCCACATTTGTCCATATTTGCATTTGTGGAATCAAATTTTATCATAAACACGAAATATATTTTATGTTTAAAGAGAGGGGGAATTTTAAAAAATATATTTTTATTGATTTCAAAGAGGAAGGGAGAAGGAGAGAGAGATAGAAACATCAATGATGAGAGAGAATCATTGATCGATTGCCTCCATCACACACCCTACTGGGGATCGAGCCTGCAACCCAGACACATGCCCTGACAGGAGTCA